TTTTCCTTCAAAAATCATCTTATTTCTTTTTATACGATTGTGGTTGGTTGACTTGAGTTCTCGTAGTATTTTTTTCATATAAAAAACTTTTGATATTTTTTTTTTATATAGAAATTTAAACAATGAAAAATAGTATTGATTTTATGAAGCATTGTGTACTTCAAGCTCGTTTCAGTTTTTGAGTATTCTTCCACTATAACTAGTTGATTAACTAAATAAAATGCCATGCTCATAAGGAATCTGTTTTTTAATCTCTGCTTCAAAATAATTTTCAACATTATAGCAATTCACCATAGTTCACAAAGATCTAAAGAAATCTATAGAATTGTGTCAGAGTATGAAAGAATCTTTAGCAATCTGGAGTAATTAAGTAAACTCATCAGAACCTACGAATTCATAAATGAAAAATGCACTAAAAAAGTAGTATCGCTACTGCTTATTACTTAGAAGTTTTGGCGTTGAAATCTTTTAAGAGAAATAGTGGGTCCTAAATCCTGGTGGAGTTCGTTGAATTCGAATGGATCTCACTAAACTCTGGTGGTTTCACTATTTTATTTTAAACAAAAAAAAACGAGTAGAATTTATGTACATTGTACAAAAATAAAAATGTAAAATCAACTAATCTAAACGGAGAACAGACAGAAGAAAAGTAAGATGATAGAATAAGACAATCATGGAAATCAATTTAAAGTTTGAAAAAATCTTTATAGAAGATGAATTTTTCCATATGATTAATCAAATTGAATGCGACAGACTCTTTATTCCATTCCATTCGAAGCTTTAGTTCAACGTCTCTGCTTCTCATAGTTTAAGATCCTGTTCGACCGGAGCATTTTCAATAAATTTTATTTAAAAAAAAATTTATGTAAAAAAATCGTTCAATGTGAAAGGAGATCAATTATCAGATTATTTCCACTACATATCATGAGAGTTAAAATTTTGTAAAAAAAAAAAAGAATCAGCAGCAGTGATTGTTCTTGCAAAACAATAGTTTTTCATTGTTATTCAGAAGTGTAGTGCCTTCTAGAAAATTGATCTGAGTAAAATAGATGCACAGATCATCATTCTAATCGAGTGCTATTCAATTTAAGAAACTGTCTCACTCGACAATTTTTGCTTTGGATACATACTCTAGTTTCGAGATCGATGTGATCAGAAGTACGTGATAGGTTTTAATAATCGCACATTTATCAAGCAGATCCATAACAATATTACATAAAACTTTCCTTGGTTGACGTGGATAAAATGATGAGCGCCCTCTTTTACTTTCATTTTTCATTGGGCCACCCCATAACCCCTTTTAATAGTATCTATGGTTGATCCAATGTAATATATAAGATAGCAAATTCATGATAATTGTATCGAGTAATTTGATCAGTACTACTAATCCTTAATATGATAAAGTAGAAAAGACGAGTCTTCCTTGTTAAAAAAAAATATTCCTATCTTTTGTTACTTCTAGATTGTTTTAAATGAGAATAACTATTAGTATACTCAGTATCTTTTTTCTTATAATAACAATTGGTGCTCCGCCTGTCGTCGAAAAAGCGAATAAAGACAAACAAAATGCTGATTCGAAAGAAGATAATTCCGATGAATTGGTTTGAAATTTTTATTTATTCAAATGAATTTTTATTCATTGATTTTTTTTTTGTTTATTTAGTTAAATGATCTTGAATATGGTCGTTATTTAAAAGAAGTCGTAGAAATTCTTGAAAATGATCCAGAATTTAAAAAGAAACTTGAAAATGCATCTGAACATGATATCAAAGTGCTCGAGAAAAAATATCTTTTTTTTTAAAATTTTTTTTTTATTTTTCAAGTCTGGAAATATTGCTCAACATCTCGGTCTTGTTCAACATCATGTACGTACTAAACTCGATGAAGCTAAACAACGTGAAATGGCCCGATTAAGAGAATTAGTTGGACAAAAAATACGTAATTTAAGTGGTAAGAATTTTTTGCTACGAATACAACATCTAAAATAAGAAGAAATGAATTCAAAGAAAAAAATTTCAAAGAGAGTTTTGCGGAACAATCCAAGCTTTCTATTGGATCATATCCTGCATTCTTTAGAGATAGGCTTAGTCACTTTCATTTTTGATTTAGGATCATAAAAGAGTTCAATGAGATATAGTCTTAAGTATCGGCAAAAAAACTGATACGGATGGGACTCCATGAAAAATTAGAGATTTCCCGTAAAACTCTTTATGAAATTTTTTTCCTCTCAAACATATACTTGATTATTTTAAGTGTTCTATCTATAGTAAAAATTTCAGTCTGATTAGTTACATCCTTATCGAGAATTAGAAGTAGCCAAAACAAAATATGGGAAGAGAAGGGGATTATATCTTTAAATAATTTGTATGTTTGTATAGAAAAAGAACGAATAGAACTTGCTCGAAGTGATCTAAATGGAAAACATATGAAAGATTTTCTTCCTCAACATATTGATCATCAAAATTCTCAAGCTTTTGGTCAAGCTGATCTTGAACGTTTAATTCAACATGCAAGTAAAGATTTAGATGAAATAGATCGAAAACGTGAACAACAATTTAAAGAATATGAAATGAGAAAAGAATATGAACGTCGTACTAAACTTACTGTAAATATTAAATTATTTCTTCTTTTCTTTTCTTTTTTTTTTGTTTCATACGATTAATTTTTTTAATTACGTTTAAAGGAAATGAATGAAGAAGAACGTAAAAAATCAGAAGCTTTACATCAAGAAGCAATGGAAAAAAAGAAACATCATCCAAAAGTAAATCATCCAGGTAGTGTGGATCAAATGCAAGAAGTTTGGGAAGATGTTGATCATCTTGAAGCTCAACAATTTAATCCAAAATCATTTTTTCAATTACATGATATTAATGGTGATGGATTATTAGATGAAGGTGAAATTGAAGCAATTATGCTTAAAGAGGTTTGATAAAAAAAAAAAAAATTTTATTTAGTTTTAAATTTGTTTGTTTTCTATTTAAGGCAGAAAAAGTTCATGATAATACACCAGAAGCTGATCCTGTTGAAAAACAAGAAGAAATGGATCGAATGCGTGAACATGTTATGAAAGAATTTGATAAAAATAATGATCGTATGCTTTCATATGAAGAATTTCAACATGGAATAAATGGAAAAGAAGCTCGTAATGATCAAGGATGGCAAGTAAGATATGAAAATTGATGATGATGAATATTTGATAACTAAAATCATTCAATCTCATAAATTTTAAATACTTCAATCATATCCATGCAGATAGAGAAATACTTACTATAAATAAATCCTATAAATTTTTTTTATACAAATGACAAATTCGAAAAACGAAGATTCTATTAAATCTATTCATAGTTAAAATTTTCAAAACAATTAAAAATTCGAATGACTAGTAGAAGTTATAATATAGCATTTTCACTTCCTGTTAAAAAATGAAAAGTTTATTTTTACATAAATTTATTAATAATTTGTCATACAGAATAGTTCATAAATAATTAGACAATTAAAAAATATTCAATATCTTCTAGTGTACTGTACTCAATTTTTCTAATTTTTTTCTCGGTGATAGAGAACGCATCAGAGTTTTTATTCACAAGGATATTATTTAATAAATATGTATAGAGAGAGTACTGTTGATCGGAATGTGGATGTCAGGACTCTGTATGGGATGGGACAATCCCATCTCATGAGATGTGTACCACATGACTTATGTCCCATGGACAAACAACTACTTCTATAAATATATGTTATAATAAAAGATACCATTTTTATTACGTAGATGACGTTCTTGTTTATTTCAGTATAATTAACGAGGGTGGGAATGTGGGTGTGGATGTAAGAGAAAAGCAAAAGAAAGTACGCATTATATCAAACCATTATTATTATGATATTATATGAAGAATAATCAAAATATCACACAAGAATAGAGTATTGTTTTTACTATCATTATATATAAAGAGAAAGTTTTCTCAAACTTTCTATACGAAAATAAAATGCTTCTGCCATTACTTTTAGATTCCTTTCAGTGGTATAATATTTTATAAATGAATAAATATCACTTTTTCGAAAAGTATTCTGACGAATATGATGTCTCATGGAAGCCCTTGTAAACAAAAGCAACGGATATTTTACATAATGATCGATTGATTAGGTCGTAAACTTCTTTTCTCCTTGAATTATAGAGCTTAGAATGAAAACAACTACCATACATCATAATTCTACTCTAACTCAAACGATGAGACTAGGTTAATCTCGTTGATCTAAATTTCTAAGTCAATACATCTACCAGAAATTTCAGATGTGTAATCTTAAGAATAACCGAGGTCACAAGAATAAACTTTTAGTCAGTAGTGTATGTCTTTATTGAAGTCGATAGTGCTCCTTTGACAGTTTCCTTCTGAATAAAAACCTTGAAGACAGACGCAAAAAAAAGCTAGATCAATTGATTCAAGTATGCTGAAGATATTGAGTGGATTTATCATGTAATTATTTACGCACCATTTTATATATGCAAATAATGTTTCAAATTATTATATTTCATACTTTTTTTTTAGAGTCTTGAAGACAGTACTGTCTATTCTGATCAAGAATTTCAAAGTTTCTCCGAACAATTGGCTCATGTACCTACAGTAATTTATTGATTAATTCTTTTCGTAATCTTGGACTTGTTTTTTGTCTTATTATATTCTAGCCTGATTCTCCTCATCCAAATAATCCTGCTTCTGGCAATCAAGTACCATCACCACAAGAACAGAAACATGTCCCACGAGCTCCACCATCAGTGAATAGTCACTAGAAAAAAATATTTATCAAACTGCGAGAATTTTTCAATTGATAGATCTATTTTTACTCCTCAGTTATCTTGTTTTTTTTTATTCTTCGTGTGTTTTGTATTCTATATTCATCGTTATCTTATATCGAAGCAATAAAAAAAACAAACAATATTTCTATTCACATATATATATTACTTTATTACAGATAAATATTTTTTTTTCTTTGACAAAAAAAAAATGGTTGTACACAGTTTTTATGTTATAAATCGAAGTGGTGGTTTGATATTTTCCTATGAACATTCCATACCAAAAATTGAATTAGAAAAAACATTTAGTTATCCACTTGATTTTATTTTTAAACGAGCACAAAAAGGTGTTGTTGTTGAATTTGGTCAACGTGATGGAATTAAAGTTGGTCATACAATTTTATCTATTAATGGAATACCAACACGAGGAAATAATATTGATTTTTCTGCTCCATCATCAATAAATAATGATGATGATCAACAAATATCATCACCAACAAGTCATGATATTATTGAATATTTATCTGATTCAGCAAATTTTCCTGGTAAGATATTAAAATTTAACATTAATTATTATTGATTCATTGTTTTTTTTTTCTTTTTGTTAAATAAGTAACAATAAAATTTGGTCGACCAAGATTAAATGGTAATGAAAAATTAATTCTTGCATCAATTTTTCATTCAATGTATGCAATTGCATGTCAATTATCTCCTGAACTTAATTCAACTGGTATACGTGAATTAGAAACCGATCAATTTAAACTTTATTGTTTTCAATCAATAACTGGTATAAAATTTGTTGCATTAACTGATATAAGACAAGTTAATGTTGATGCATTATTAAAACGTTCATATGAATTATATAGTGATTATGCATTAAAAAATCCATTTTATTCAATTGATCAACCGATATGGTGTCCTTTATTTCAAGAAACTGTTAAACAAGCGATTGATTCATTAGAAAAAACTGGTTCACCTTATACATAAATTTCTTTTTTTTTGTCGATCAACTTTTTTTTTTCTTCTTTCATAGAACAATTTTTGTTAAAAAAAGAAAGAAATGTAATTATCCGTGTGAATGATAAATAATGTGGCAATGAGTTCCAATCGATATTTAGTTTTTTTAATTTCTTTTAATTGATTTTAAAAAAGAAAATTATTGTAAATAATTATAAGTAATGAAAGACAAACAAAACAAAATCAGACAAATCTTTTTTGACAATCAATATCGATTGGATTGTTATCGTTAAATAAGAATAATCTAATTCCGATGCAGGCTTAGAGAAAACTATTTCAGAATTTATTCGTATAAACTCTTTCAAAAAAGAGTTTAAAATGTCTGTGTTTTGATTAATTCAGCTGACGAATGTCACACTATCTTCAATCGATAGGATCTAGTCAGTGCGTAAATACCCTAAAGTAATTCGAGCTATCGAATATTTGTTGCTAAGATATCTACTAATTGTTAGCAGATTTTTCCTGCAAGATCTCAGTTGTCAAGCAAGATTGTACTTTTGAATTTTGATCGGAAGATTTTGCTCACATAAAAGTCTCGATCAGACTAGTCTATGTCAAAGCGCCTATATTTTGAAAAATTCATATGTCAAAAAGATTTTGTCAAAGAGTTGTGAAATTGTTTCTGCAAACTAGCCTAATCGAAACCTTTATGTGAGGAAGTTTCAAACCAAAATTCAAAAGTATAATTTTGCTTGAAAACTAGGGCTTCGCAGGAAAAATTTACTAAAAATTCAATATCTGAGCAACAAAGATCTAACAGCTCGAATCACTCTAGGATATTTATCTGCTGATTAGATTCTATTGATTGAATATAGTCTCAGTGTGAAAGCAATTTATCACTTGAAGACTTTCTCTCGTAAGTTGTTAATAACACCTATTTGAATATCAAAAAAGTCTTTCATAAACTCTTGGTTTTCTAAGTAACTGTTAGCAAAAACCTAGTCCGCAATAGAACGCCGTTGCTTTGTATTCTGGAAGAGATTTATAATTTTTAGTTCCTGTTCAAACAACTTTGTTTTTTGTAGCCCTGGATCCTGTACATTTTTTCTTGGTTCTACACATCTCTGATCATCATTAATCCTATCTATGTCTAGGATCGACCTCTTGTATCTTTTCTTTTTAAATAATTCATTGAAATATTTCCATTATTCTATAATTTGTATTGCTTTTCCTCTTAAAGAAATTGAGGTTTTTTGTTTTTGAAGATGTGCACCAGTCACGGTCTGACTGGTCAACCAAGACTGTTGAATTTCTTTGTTTTTTGATATTTATTGGTTAGCAGAAACAAAACGATCCATAATCACAATATCTAGAAAGCACGATTGTGGTTATATTATAGAATTTTGAAGTACCTTAAAGTAGCTTATATTAACTTCAAGTACAAAACGTACATTGTTTACCTCTAGATCTTTTAGCAAACAATCATTGAAATCGATAGAGAACATTTGAGAATGTTCACTTGTTAGTTCTATACATTTTTTTTTGTACTTACAAATAACTCAGATCTTAAAATACATTGCTAATCGATTTAATCATTTCACAATAAGACAAATTCATCTAAAGAAATATAATATTGAAAATCCACGAGTTTCATATTCAAAGCATAGTGTATTCATGTTAAGTTTACGAAAACAACATCCGTGTTTGTTTTTGTTCAAAGTTTTATTTAAATTCTATTCCAATGGTATAGAATTCGATATTTAACATCAAAGTTTTGTGACTTTCTCCCCCACCTAGTTCTCATTGAAGACCTTAATAACCAAGATTAAACGTGCTGAACGACATTAATAACACCACTAAGAATCTTGTTTGAAATTGAAATGACTGGAATATGTTTTTTAATACTTTAAATAATGCAGTTTCTAATTTTTACGCAAATAAACAATTACATGATAGGTATCAAGAATGATGTTTTGATTTCTCACAATCGTCATATGACCAACACAAAAGCATAAACTAATTAAGTTCTAACTTTTGGAAATAATCAATATTCATCTCTCTAAGTTCATTAAGATACACATAACAGATTGTTAAGATCTACTGTTGATATTACGAATGTGTACAACAGGTTTATTTATACATTAAATCAATAGTTAGACTAATAATAATAAATTATGAAATAAATTGTTTGTTCACAATTGATTATCATTGAAAAAGAACTATTATCTTTTAGAGATTTTTGTACTTTATGTATTTTGTATTAGTATAATGAAGCTAAAGAATATATTTGAGTTCCACATTTTAGTCCCAATGGGGCTGTGCTAACAAGCCTTTTTATCTTTCTTTTATTTTAATAGTTTTTGCATTAATGAATCATTATCGACAAAGAAAAAGATCAAAGAACATGAAACAAAAATATCATCTTTAGCTAAACAACAAGAAAATATTTAATATAATTATTAAGATGAAACTAATTCAATTATTGATAAAATTTGTATTTATAAGCAATTTAATTCATAAAGACAACAATCATTTATGCTTATAATTGAATAAGAATGATCTATCTGTTCGACTAA